AGAGAGAGAGAGAGAGAGAGAGAGAGAGAGAGAGAGAGAGAGAGAGAGTAGGTGACAGCCGTATAAGGTGATTGGGGTGGGGCCCAGTGTTGTTGATGTTTGATGTATAGGTAAATTTCTATAATACCCTTAATTAGTGTAAAATATGCTAATTTTTTTAGCCACTAGATCATTCGATCCGATGGTTATGATATATTCTTATTTCTTTCACTGAACTTCATTCTCGCTGGAGCGCGACCCTATATATGTATATATAAAGAATACTATAAAATATATACAGAAATGTAAAAAATATTTACTCTATATTAATAATTAAAACTTATGTTCTATGTTTTAATCTAAATTAAAATTTATTTATTTATTGAAAAATGTACTAACAAGCCTTATATTTTACATTTCTAGATAAAATTTTGAAAATATTTAGAATAATTTACTCTTTCCGCCTCTTAATTGTAAATCGATTTAGCAATTTATAAAACTCAGTATTTAGTTGGACTATTACATTTTTTAATGTGGATTTTTTTACTTTTTTTTTGTGTATTCACATGTTTTTAAATTTATTTATTTTCTTCTTTAAAAAAAATATTAATTTGATAGGCTCTCATCAACAAAAATGCTAAATGTGTTGATAAATTTCAATTTAAAACAATTTTTCAATAAGAAACTTATTTTTCCATAAACTATAGATGTTGAACTTAAGTTATAAAAATACGCGAAAGCTCATATTTTTTTTGGTTTATTTTTTTTTTAAGTTTTGGGGTGATACGGATTCTATGTTTTGAAAAAATTGATGGTACGCATACCGATATTTCTATTTATAGTTAATACATTTTTATATGAAATGAGTGTTTCGACTTAAACTACAAGCTCGTTATAGCATTTAAAATCAAGCCCTCCTAAGCGAAATTCTTAGATCCGTCACTGAATATAGATATAGATATAGATTAATAATAGTAGAGATATAAATATAAATATAGATTAATATAAACATTTTCTTGAGTTTGGCGTTTTTTAGGTTTGCACTTAAGTGGAACCAACTTCTAGGAGCCTTATAATGATTATCTATGTTTTGTTTTTGTTTTTGTTTTATTTTTTCTAATTTTTGTGTGTAAATAACACGTTGTACGTATGGTTTATAGTTTTAGATGGGACTGAAAATTGGAGATATCTACCGAAATTCTCTCTGCGCATGCCTTTCTTGTATGACCCAGTATACATATCAAGTAAATCACATTGCAAATGTTAAAACTAAAATCAAGAACAAGAAAGATGATAGAAATAAATCAAGAAAGTCATAACCTCACATTCAATTAATTGTTTATTGTTTTCCATTCAAACATCTTTTTAAAAGGAATAAAATCATCGTCATAAGAAAAATAGATACCATCTTCCCATACTTCCCAAAAACATTTACCTAGCCGACACCTATCACTATGTTTGGAGGTAAATACATCAAAAGCAATTTCCTTTTTTTCCCACCAAAGATGGCAAAAAAATAAAGTTTTTCCGGAAATATTCTCACAAAACTTCCAATGAAAATCAAAGTTTGGAACAACCTTATGATATCCAAGTTCATTATCACCCGATGCACAATGAAATTTGAGTCTTGGATACGGAAGCCTGTTGATTACATGAACCTCATAATTTTTGGTAATACACCCATTGGTTAGGAAAATATAAGCGAATAAGACGAGAAGTACCAAAACTTTAGTATCAGTCATGATCAATGCCTTGTACTGTGTGAAATGCAAAACTTGTTGTGAAGTATTTGGTTGGTTTGGGATTCAATTTATAGGTCTTGAAAATCAAAATCGCAAAATCAAGTGCCAATATAATTGGGACACATTTAGAAAATACTTCAAAATTGAATTTGATATAGTATACATGTTCGTAATTTGTAATTGACTATGTCAACATTGCCTAGTGAATACTATGAAGTTAGACAAATTTTTGGAATGTAATTGTTAGGTGACACTGAATCTGATTTCAGTGATGGTGGTGTAAGATTATTTGTTTGGCATCATCCGAAAAACCTAAGTGTTTTCTAGAAGATTTTTTTGTTAGGCAAGCAAAATAAATTAAAGGGAAGTTTTCTATTTATTTACTTGTTAGTTAATTAAGTTTCTATTATTTATTATTAATAATATATGTTATATATTTATTATAATGTGTATTACGGAGTCCTAAACCTTTAGGTGAAGGATTACATAAGATATGTCTCATATATTTACTTACCATATACTCCACATGCATTAATGAGCTTGATTCTATGCCATAGTTAGTTTTCTCTTTCTTGTAGGACAAGGAATAGATGACAAGGACTATGAAAGGATGAGCAATTCGTGCATAAGGAATTCTGGACGTTCTCTAGAAGATCTAAGGAGGATTTAGAAAGATTCACCACAAGATCTTTGAAGATTTGGAAGATAGGCTATTTTAGGAAAGTTTTGTTCTTACAAGAGTCTGGAAACACGAGATTTCCATTAAAAACTCAATCATGAAGATCTCCAAATCACAT